GACTACAGATTCTCAGCCTCTCCAGTGTGGTGCAGCCATTGTTGGACTACTCGGACTCTATCCTGTGAGCTAAGCTGATAAATCTTTATACATATTCATTCTACTGGTTCTGTTTCTTTGGAGAACCCTGACTAATACAAAGGGGATGCACCCAAAGCCACTAGTTTTGTGGGATGGACAGCAAGGCTCCAAAGGAGATGTCCCACCAGCAGCAGAAGTGTTCAGAGAATTCTCACCAACATGACAGTGTCATAAAAGAAGCACAGGAAGAACTTGCCAACAGGGAATGAGGAAAAGGAAACCAGGAGAAATGCCAACCTGAAACTAGAGTCATGGAAACAGCAGAATCCTGAGAGGACTCCATGAGACAGATGGTAGGATGGATACAGGAAAGGGACAAACTCCTCTGTGGAAGATAAGACTCAGCAACTCCCTTCAAGGAAAATGGGGGAAAAAAGAAACAAGATATATAAAGGAAAACTAAGAAATGGGAGGAGATGTGCCAACATCCAGATTACAAGAACCTAAAACCTTGGTTAGAGCAGGAAAAGAAAAAAATGTATCAAAGTGATAAAGACTAATTTCAGGATTGTAGAGGGAAGTTTGGGATTGAAAGAGTTCAGAGATGCTCAAGAGAAAAATGGAGGAAAATCTCATCTCTAGGCCCCTCAGTGTGATGCTGAGGACACACAGAAGGGTTCCAAAAGACTCTTCCAAGGATGCAGGCAGCACAGAGCAGCTCAACTGGTACTGGAGAACTGTGAGTGAGATCCTGTATATAAATAATGTGCCTTGCTTCACAAAGCACCAGAAAACATTAGGCCCCTCTGTAGTTGCTCATCTCAGGGAATATGAGGACTAAGAGAAGGAACCATTTGGAAAACTATCTTATACACTGGAAAGCATCAAACAAGTCTCCATTATTGACTGTTATTAATGAACATTATAAATTGGGGGATATAGAACCTAGGGAGATGGCTCAGTGGGTAAAGTGCTTGCCTTGCAAACATAAGGACCTGAGTTCAGGCCCCAGAACCCACATGAAAAGGCCAGGCATGGTGGTATGCACTTGTAATCCCAGCGCTGGAGAGGTGGAGAGAGGTGGATCCCTTGGACTCGCTGACCAGTCAGGCCTACTTAGCAGTTTCAAGCCAGTAAGAGACTCATCACAAAAAACAAGGTAGATGATGCCTAAAGACTGACACCGACATTGATCTCTGGTTTCCACTCTCCATATACACATGCACATACATACATGCACACCTTCACATGCATACACACACAAACACAGGAAAATAATGGTAAATATCTCTTTCTCCAGTCTTTTGCTTTGCCAATAAACATCAATTTGGCCATTTTCTCAAATAAAGGTATAGTTTGCCTTACAGGAATTTTGAAATTTTTATGAGTAACAAGATTTCTTTTTAAGCTCACATAGTAACTAAAACACAAATCTGATTTTCAGCTGAAACCTCAGTTCTCTGGATACTATGATGGGCTGAAAACCTGAGATGTGAACTCAGTCTGTGAATCCCAGTGACTGACTCAGCCTCTTTCCCCACTACAAAGGAACTGAAAAGCAGAGATTAAACACCACGTCTTTGAGCTTGAAGAAACCTAAAATATAGTACGGGAGATTTCAGTCTCTTGAGAACTCTGTTCAGATTCAGATATGCATTAGTACAGGCACTATGGAAAGTAGCAGGAACATGGGTACATCTAAAAACTAGACATAGACACACACCCAGGAAGTCCCTCCCTGCCCCACTGGGGCACTGGGCAGTACATCCCACAGTGATAAGCTGTTTCACCCCAGTCTGTCTATAGCAGCACTGTGGGAGTCAGAAGCACATTCTTCCAGATAAGGTTGGGTTAGCTGTTTCTAATCACCCCCAAGCCCCCAAAACACTGACTGAATGAAACCGGAGAGTGCAAACCATCCCAGTGGAGAAACTCAGGGGAATTCTCAAGTGGTTTGTGACCCTCCTTCCAGCGAGTAATGAAAACATGGGACTGCGAAGCCTGTT